GGCCCCAGAGCTGGAAGCTCTGACTCATGACATTGCTGTCTCCCAGAAGCTGCCCGACAGGGAAAGTTTTTCAAGGTCCTGGAAAGTCAGGGGGACATCAAGATGCGAGAACTGCTGGCTGCCCTCCATCCTGTTCAATACCAGGAACTCAGGTATCGTATATGGTCAGGATCAAGCCAAGATGCTTGGTGGAGTGACGAGGGGAAGAGGATGCCCTGTCCCAGGACAGAACTCCCCACCCCATCCCAAAGGGCAGCCAGGGAGTCCCTTCTGTGTAAGGACAGGCCTGTCTTGATAATCCCAGGCCTGCTTCCTCCTTCACACACGTGCAGATATTGCCTTCTCACCCGACATACTCCTTTTCAAGCTGCCAAGCCCTTCCTAGACCTTTTCTCATTTAACCCAGAGTCTTCCACTTCCTAGCTCTGTGGCCCCCCGTCTCTGTTTTGTCATCTATAAAATGAGGATCATAATGACATGTGCGTCAGAGGGATGCTGTGTGGACTAAACATGATAATGCATGGAAAACACTCAGAACTGTGACTGATACATGGTGAGTGCTCAATAAATACTGGCTACCACTCCAGCTAGGACTGTTACGGGCCAGTGCCACAACCCCAGGGTGTGAACCGGGCAGGTGGGCAGGGGGGATGAACCCTCCTCTCTCTGCCCATCCCAGTCCTGCCAGTTCTTCAAGAGGCCTGAGGCCTGGGTCCTTGCACATCTGACGAGGGAGGCTGAGCGCAGAACCTTCCTCCCAGAGCCTCCCCTCCCCGTGGCCCTGTTCCTGTCCCGGGGCCCCAGGCACCTTCAGGGTCTGCAACATTACAGCAAGCCTTTCTGATACAGGCGCGGCACTGCCCTTCTCCGCCCAGCTTGCTGGAAAAACTAGGAAAGCTTACCTAGGGAGGGACTTCTGCTCCTGCCCCTCTGTATATACTCTCAAGGGCCTCCTGTTTCCAGCCCTGGGCCTCAAGGGGCAGCAGGAAGGGGGGACCAGCTCTGGCTCCTCTCCCCTGCCCACTGACTTGCGACCTCACTGGGTCACACTGCTGGGCTTTGAGCATCCCAGGGCATTGATTTAGAGGATGCAAACAAGAAGCTTGTCTTGTTAGAGAAAAATAGCCTCCTCTCCAACAACATGTAGGTCTGTGAGAATTCTCAGTGAGCCCTGCTGTGGCTGGCTTAGCAAGACCCAGGGAGGACCCAGCCTGGGAAAGGCAGGGAGGCGCCAGAGTGAGAAGGGCCTCTCACCCTCCACCCAGGTCCTGGGGGGGCACGGGTGACCTAGTGGCCTGGAGGGAGGGGAGGAAAGGGGGCCAGCTGAGGAGTCTGTTAACCCACTCCCACCCTGGGCCCTGGCGGTACAGGCCCAGGTAAGAGTCCTGACAGGTGGGCAAAGGAAGACAGCCCGGGCTGCAGGCTGCCGGCTCCGTCCACCTCTGGGCATGACCTGGAGCTGGGCGCTGGAGGAAGAGGGAAGAGGCAGCTGGGGAGACCAAGGACAAGGAGCCCCAGACACCCCGTGGAGGGCTGGGGAGGTCCTGCGTGGCACTAGCTGGGCAGGGGATGCTATGTGTCCCGACCAAAGCTCGTGCCAGCTGCCTCAGGCCTGAGCAGGGTGCTTTCTGGCTGAAGGAGGCAAGCACGGGCAGGGCAGGCTCCAGACAGCCCATCCCCAGGGCCCAGAGACTTCCCCGGCGTGCTGACAGGGCAGAAGAGGGGCCAAGAGCATGGTTTTCCACCCTTCTGAGGGGTGTGCCACCTGTCCACGGACTGGAGCACCCCAGGAACAGAGGGGGAGCACTAGCAGCACCAGCCTCAAGTCTCTGAATCCAACCCCAACCGGCTCCAGGGCGCCAAATACTTGCCCCTTATGTGAGTCACCCCACATGCCGCAGTCTCCAGAAGCCCTGCCACCTGGGTGGTGTGTTTGCCAAGGCCTTAGGTTGCGGCAGGGCTGGAACGGGCAGAAAGTTCTGGATTACTCACTCCTTAGAGCTCTCACTTGCCCATAGCTCTGAGGGCAGGGCCTGAATACCTGGCTCTGGACAGGACGCAGCCAGGGTGCCCCGCCATCCATCCCCCGTGCCCGAGCTTCCCCCAGCACCTCCCCTGCGAGCAGGGCGAAGGGGAAACGTATGTTCGTTTGCTCATCTTTGCTAATTTGAAAAGGAGTGTAAACAGCAGGGCTCAGTTGCACGGCTCTGCCGAGGATGTAGTTTAAGTCCAATTATGTGTTATTAGTACATTTGCTCTTTGTTCCCATGGCATATTAATTGCAGATCTGGTATTGTGGCAATTAACACAATCATGGGCTCTCTTTTCCGGCAGGCCACAATCCATGTGTTTTCGGCCAAGGACTTGGGCTGGTGAGATGGAGGGGGGGCACCCGCTGGGGAAAATGCCCAGTGTTGTGGGTTGAACTGCATCCCCACCCCATCCCCAAATCTCTGTGTTGAAGTCCTAACCCCCAGTACCTCAGAATGTGACCTATTTGGGAGAAGGGTCTTTACAGAAGTAATCAAGTTTAAATGAGGTCATTAGGGTGGTCCCTAATCCAATATGACTGGTGTCCTCATGAAAGGGGGCATTTAGGCACAGGGAAGACACGCAGGGGTAAGACCGCCACCCACCAGCTGAGGAGAGAGGCCTGGGGCAGATGCTCCCTCGCAGCCTCAGAAGGAACCAGCCCTGCTAACACCTTGATTTGGGACCTCTGGCCTCCAGAACTGGGAGACAATACATTTCTGCTTCCCTGGGGCTTCCCATCAGCGTCACCTCTGCTCTCCTGGCCGCGGGGCCCTGATTCTCCCTGCCCAGCGCTGGAGCTCCTCCCTCCCTCTGCACCTGACGCTCAGCGGTCACCTGGCTCAGGCGATCCTGGATGCGTCACTTCCTTTCCCTCTGTCATCCCCTAATCTTGATGAGGGAGGGTTACCTACCTTGTGAGGTAAACAGGTGTGTGTTATTTTCCGGGTTAAATCAGTTATAATAGTCCGGTGTCCGCCCTGTGCTTTACAGCTCACAGGATACTTATCAAAGGCCTGTTCTCAGTTCGCCCTGACAGGGACCCTGTGGGGTGGGTATCAGCACCCGTTTTACAGATGTTATGAACCCCTGAGTAGTGGGCTCAGGCTCAAGCTCTGATTTTAAGCTTTGTGCTCTTTCTCCACAGAAGCAGTTCTTGTGGGATGTTCCATGGAATACTTAAAATGTTAAAGAGCTCTATGGTCAAATAGATGAGGAAAAAGCTAAACGAAACGGGCATCTTTACTGCAGGATTTCTCAGAACCTTCAATATATACTCTAAGTCTCACAGGAATGTCCGCCGTGCAGTTTCCCACCTTCTTTCACTTTGGTGGGACCCCAGGCAGGGCTGTGAGCCCCCACATGCTGCTCCAGGACGCCCAAGCCAGGTCCACAGGGGGAAGCAGAAAACTCCGATCCCAGTCTCAGTGGGAGGGTCCCCTTGCTGCTGCTGCGCCTCGCCTCCCCCACTGCAGGCTGGCTGAGCAGCATGGGGGTGTCACCGTGGGATTTCTCTCCCTTTGGGGTTCAGCCAGCGCCAGAGCCTGGTGGGGGACAGTTTGTTCTGGCTACACAGAATTCTCCCCGTTAGGCACCATCCCCATGTGACTCTGCATAGCCTGCCCCACCCCAGCCACAGGAAGGGGCTACAGCTAAATCCCCCCACTGTGACTGGGCCAACAGGCGGCTCATTACCCAAGCAGGCCAATCCGAGACTCCCTGGGATTGTTTGGGGCACCGTGAGAAAGCAGCTTTCCTTCCTCCAAGGCTGCCAGGAAGCATATTCTGCTGCAGGACAAGGTCCTTCTGATGGAAACGATGAGGCTAAAAGGCAGTCAAGCAGAAACAAGCAGACAAGGACCAAGAGGGAGAGAATGTCCTGGAAGCATCAAGTCTCCAGTTCCAGCCCAAGGCCCTGGTTCTTGCAGCAATGATCTTAATCCTCCGAGCTGCCTCCAGAGCCTCCCCAGGGGCCTGAGCCAGATGTAGCTCGATTTCTGTGGCCTGCAAACCAGAAAATCCCGACCGACACCAGTCTCTGAGCCCCTTCAGAGCCCACAATTTATTTCCCAGTCAAGATAGGCCCAACAGGGCTGTGGATATGGAATGCCACATGTGTGCCAGGGCCAGCCCCACTGAAATGTGCCCTGGGGCCTCGGCCAGAGAAACAGAGAGAGTGCCCTCCTCTCCGTGGGCCCCAGATTTCCTGCTGCCAGCACAGTTTTAGTCCAGGAGATAGGGTCCCTGCACCTGTGGGTCACAAAGGGCTCAGCAGAGGAGCCATCTCAAGGTCAGGGTTATTCTTTCGTTTAACAAACCTTTATGGCAAGCCTGCAGTATGTCAGGTACTGGGGACGCAGCAGCGAAGAAGCCAGATGAGGTCCCTGCTCCCAGGAGGGTATCTTCTAGTGGGAGAAGTGAGAAATAGACAAGCAAAGAAATTCATAAATAAGGTTATTTCTGATAAAGCACATCAGAAAGTAGGAAGCAAAATAGGATGGTCAGTGAAGACCGTCTCAGGGGGTGCTGTGGTCTGAATGTTTGTGTCTCTCTAAAATTTACACGTTGAAATCTTGACAGCCAGTGTGGTGGTCTCAGGAGGTGGGCCTCTGGGAAATGATTAGGTCATGAGGGTGGGGCACTCCCAAATGGGATGAGTGCTCTCATAAGTGACCCCGCAGAGCCCCCTCAACCCCGACCGTGTGAGGGCAGAGAGAGAAGTCAGGTGCCCGCAGCCTAACAAAGGGTCCTCACCAAAGCTGGACCGTGCTGGCGCCTCCAGCCTCCAGACTGTGAGAAATGAATTCCTGCTGTTTGTAAGTCACACAGTCCACGGTGTTTTGTTACAGCAGCCTGAACAAACCAAGATGGTGGGGGAGACATCTGAGGTGACATTGGAAAACAGAGAATTCAGCCATGTCGGAGGAGTACTGCAGGCAGAGGGAACCGCAAGCACGGGAGCCCTGAGGTGGGGGCAGCCTCGGCCTGTCTGAGGAACTGGAGGTGGGTGCGGAGGGCAGGGGAGAGCTATGGGAAAGGAAGGCAGAGATAAGCAGGAGCCAGGTCACCAAGGCCTGGGGGCCCATGATGGGGAGGGGAGATTTTAGCAAGTGTAAAGGGTGGCCACTGCCTTGCAGGGTCCAGGGTGGAGCCCTGAGCAGTCTTACTTAGGTCTTCTTGGGTCCCAGAAAAGCAAGGGGCTCCCAGACACAGTCTTCCGGGGAAGTCCTTGGGCTGGAGCGGAACAGAGCAGGAGTCAGAATACCACACGGCGTCAAAGGCTGGAGGTCACTGGTGCAGTCTGGGGTCGGGAGAGGCCTGGTGATGCTGCGCAAGCAAACAGGCCCAAGACCCTCAGGGCCCCAAATACACTCTCTCTTCCTTACTCGCGGGCTGGCCGGGGGCTCTTCCAGGACGCAGGCTGATGGGGCAGCAGCCTCCGGAACTTTACCGAACGGCCCTTGATGCTCCCACCTGACCCATCTTCTGCTCACACGTCATTGGCCAAAGCAAGTCAGAGCCACATTCAGCTGAAAAGAGGGTTGAGGGGGACACAATCGTTCCATATGCCTGGGAATATTTGGGGTGTGACACTAATGGAGGTCTTGCAGATGAGAAACTGAGGTTCAGACAGCTGGAATGGAATCACGTGAGGCTAGTGCAAGAGTGGGTTGTAACACCCAGCCTGTGATGGTGGCCAAGGGCTCCCTCTGCGGATCCCCATCCCCACCCCACCCTGCCCTGGCCTCTCCTTCTGCCCGATGACTTTAAGAGCTTAATGTCCTAAGCCTCCCGTGCCCTCCACACACAGGCATGAGCTCACCCTCCCAGCATCTTGGAAGACAGACAAGTGCTGGGACACCCCCTCCCGCTCTTCCTCTCCCCAGGGGCCCTGAATTGGATGGCAAGAGCAGACCTGAGCTAGTGCTGGCAGCTGCCCATCCAGCGTCTGTAGGAAGGAGAGTTGGTGAGTGTGCCAAGGGCTCTCCCTAGGCCACCAGGCTCCAGCCTGGGCTCTGGCGCTTGTACTGACACATCACTCCCACACGCTTTCTCCTGAAGCAGTTTGCTGGGCACCTCCAGCCGCCCTCTCTTGTTCTGTCTGCTGGGGAGGAGCCTGGGACCAGCAGCCAGGTGGGCCCACAGACCTCCGCTGATGCCCCCCCGCCATGAGCCACAGGGCAGGGCAAGAAGGATGCCCCCTCAGGCAGGTGTAGGAGCTCCGAGGGACCCTCCCACCCACCGCAGCTCCCCGCAGACAGGCCTGGGTCGGCCAGCTCCTGCTCTGCTCCTCGTGGGCAGGCGTTTTCCTTCCCACGGGACGTGCGTGCTTGCAGCCTATCCCAAGTCAGTGTGCCCACAGCCTCTGAGAGCACAGGGAGAAGCTGCCTCCCTCTCGTCTCTGCCTCCCCAGCTTGCGCACAGTGGGTCCTCAGTCAGTGCCTCCTGACTGGCTGAAAGCCGGCAGCGGCCCAATAGTGCAGCTGGGAAGGGCTAACGCTCCTCCCTGGGAGTCTGGGGAAGTCCAGGTGGCTCAGGGCTCTCCTCTGGAGCAAGCTGGGTGAGCGGGGAGGCCCTGTGGGTACCAGGGAAGGTTCTGGATAGAAAGCCTGAGGGGCCAGAGTCCAGGCTGCCCCTCCCAGGGCAGGGCTTCTCCGTGGCCTCAGCAGTGCCGGTGGGTGATTCAGCCAGAGAAAAGTCTGCAGGCCACTTTCCCTGGGACGCTGGACACCTCCCCCCGCCCAGGGCAGATTCCCAAGGGGCAAGCCAGCAGGGCAGCCGGCTGAGCAGGGCGCGGGCAGGGGCAGCCAGCCAGCCTGCCTGCCACAGGCTTCCTCTGGGCCGGGGTCTGAGGGGCGCAGGGGCCACTGCACAGTAGGCCCGGCCAGGAGTGGCCGACTTGGCCCACGGGGCCCAGTGAAGGCTGCTTTGGGGGTGGGGTGGAGGGGTTGTGGAAACAGCTGAGGGTGAAGCTGGCCCTCCGGGGGCCTTGTCGGGCCCCCACTTCAGCCGGGCCCCCTCCCTGACCAGACCTGCGTCCTGCGGCCCCAGCTCCCTGGGCTGGTCGGTGTTTTTCTTTCACACAAGGACACATCAGGATGTGCAGCCCATGGTAAACAAAGAGCTATTTTTACCGCCTCGTTGTTTCCTCCTCAGCGTCCCAGCCCTCCGCCAAGGTACACACCTCGGAGGGCTCGCCGCACAGGCTGGGCCCTGCCAGGTGCCTGCAGCTCCGCCACCACGCCCCACCTCAGAGCCGCCCCGGATCAGGGGGGCTGCAGGATGAAGAGGGGGCGATCCCGGTCCTGCAGGTACTGGCGGGGAGGCTGGGATGGGCACGGGGGTGCCAGAGCCAGGCCCAGAGACTCATCACCATCTCAGCCCGTGCGTCCCCCTCCCACGCCCTGTGTGGAGCAGCAGCCCCCCTAGCCCCCAACATCTGCTCCTGCTCGGAAGAGGCTCTGAGGACAGAGGCAGCACCCCGGCCCCTGCCTAAGGGGAGGTCAGTGTTTGGGGGCGGCCTCCCTGAGCGCCAGGGTTAGAGTTGCTGGCACATAGCAAAACAAAGGAGACCAGGCCTTTAGTCAGTTTTATTGTTTTGAAATTCTTTCCAGCCAATCCATCCCTTTTTGCCTGACCCAAGACAGGCAGCCACGGCTGTTCTCGCACACTGACCACAAGCGGCAGGCGACATTATTGTTCCCGCGTTCCAGACTGGGCCACAGGCTTGGGAACATCGGCTCACTCGCCCACACCATCCAGCTGTAACCGGCAGAAACTGGAGTCCTGCTGGGCCTCCCCCACAGCGGCCACGACCCCCCCGTCCAGCGAACAGGGACTCGGTCCCCCTCCCAGGGCTCAGTGCGGGGAGCCCTCAGGTGCTGGGGGCAGGGATCTGTGACCTGCGGGGGGTGGGAGGGTGGGAGGCACCCAGGCGGCCACTGCTCCTCCTCCCGTTGACTCTGAGGCAGGGCCTGCTGCAGTGAGAAGGAGACGCTGGCTGTGGTGGGTTTTTTTTAACCACTTGATCATGATCAAGGATTTAATTTTATCCCCCTCTCTGGCTGGCTCTGATTCTATTTGGAGTTTAAGCACGAGCTGGTGAGCGGGAGGGTCCCTGGAAGATAGGACTCCCACCCCCAGGCTCTGCAAGGCCCCTGGCTTCCTGTCCAGCGTGGCAAGATCCGTCTGGGGGACCCGGTCTGCTCTGCAGGTTCAGGACGGCTGAAGAATGGCTCCAGTTCACACCCTGCCCCCACACAAAGCTGCTTAGCCGAGGGAGCTGTCCAGGCCCGGGGCTGGAGGCGGCTCTTGCCCGGCTTCTGTCAAGGGATCATCTCAGCTCTTTCACCCTCAGCGAAAAAGTGTTTAACAAGCACCTGATTGGATCTGGGACCTGGAGCTGCAGACGAGGCCCTGCTCTGAATGACTTATGGGCAGAGAGCATGGGGGCAGGGGACACCATAGTGGTGACTCGATGTTGACCATATGTGCTGACCACCCACTGTGGGCAGGTCACTCAGCTAAACTTGTCATATGCATCATCCCATTGATTCTCAGTACATCTTAGGGGATAGATGGTCTTGTCTTTTCCATTTTTCCAGCAAGTTGGATTATTTGCCCCAAGTCACACAGCTGCCAAGCGGCATATCTAGATGTCAGTTGCACCAGAGTTCTGTCTCCCCAGCCCCCAGCTACATGGACATAAAGATGTGTCCTCTGGGAGTAAACGGCATAAACCAAGGTCAAGAGAGAATTAGGTTTGTTCAGGGCTTTATTGGATTCAAAGCATTTTTGTGTAGTTTGTGGAATATAGCTTTGTTTTCATTATTATTCCCATTTTACAGATGAGGAATTTAAGGCTAAGTAAGCCCCACCCAAGGGTACAGAGGTCACAGTAGGGTGGCAGGATTCCAGCCCCAGCCTGCGGCCCCCAATTCTGAGCTCTTTCTCTGCCCTCCTTTGGGGAAAGGTGTGCTTCCCGATGCTGGCTGGGGGCTGTGAACAGGAAGGGGAAGCACAAAGTGGAAGCGGAATTTATTCTAGAAAAACCGGCTTAGCCTGGAGGAGGACTGCTGGTCTCCCAGGGGAGCATCAGCGTGGGTGAAAGGTGAGTAGCTTAAGGGAGGTGGGAGGGAGAGCAGCTTCACCCTGGAGGTAAGGGCTGGCCTGAGGACCCACATGGCTAATGCACCTTGTAGGTATTTGCTAACCTGCTATAGCCAGGCTCACCTGGCATAGAGGAGAAGGGCAAACACCAGATTGGTCCAGGATCAAAGAGACGGGTTTCTCCCCAGCCCCACCCACCCCCTGTCAAAGCTGGAAGTACAGAGTCTGGGGTCAGAAAACCTGGGTCCCAGTTCTGGCTAACCCACGCTGACCTTTAGCAAACTGTGGAACCCCCATTTCCTCATCTGTAAAATGGGGATAATAACATACTCACTTCACACATGACTGAGGATTATGTGTATATAACGCTGCACACCTGCACACAGGTGAGCTATTCAGACTGGGACAAGGGAGACACATAAAAAATGTTTATGAACTGCCACCTCCTTCCAGGGCTGAGGCTAGGGGCCAGGAGGGGGAACTCTGAGGCTGTGGGTCACCTCCTGGGGCTGTGCAGGTGGGGCAGGACAGCCGCCTGTTGCACACTCAGTTCCTTCCCTGGGGACTCAGGAAGAGGCCAGGCAGGGTGGGGTGGACAGGATGCCACTCAGCTCCTGTCACCAGCTCTCCTAACTACCTGCCAGCAGGTCTGGCAGGCCCCCTGGGAAACCATCCATGAGGGGGGGAGTTCCAATGTCAAGGAGAAAAGTAAAGGCGAGGTGCTGGTCCTTTGAGGCGGCCTTTCTTTAAATTAGGACTAGAAGCTATGGTTCCCCCCATCACCCCCCATCTCCTGACACCCAGTGGTTCCCCAGTAGAGGAAGTGCCTTCACTGGACAGAGAAGCGTTTTCTAAACATGGCCTCAGTTTAGTCTGGGCCTATTTCATCCTCCAGGAAAGGGGTGGGTGGCCATGAGCTACAGGGAGAAAGAGAAAGAATGACAGGGAGTGGGGGAGAATCTGCCCGTGCAGGCCAGGCAGGCGGGTAGTGGTGGGGTCTCCTGGGGCCTCCAGAGCTCCGCGGCCCTGGAAAGTGGCTCCTGCCCCCGCCACTGAACCAGGTGCCACGGAGGGATCACCTTCCCTGCCACAAAGGGCCCCGTTCAAAGGCTGCAGCAGCCTAGATTCTCACAGCTGCTTTTCACCTGCTGGACAGGGAGAAGCCCTTTATTCATCCTCCCCAACCCCCGCTGAGAAACACCAGCAACGGGCAGGGTGCCCGGCCTCCCTTCTCCCCGCCCCCACCTCAGCCCTGCCCACAGCACCCACCTGCCTCAGCGCTCTCCTCCCACCTGTTGGGCTCATTACCGGCCACATGCACTTGTGCCTGGGAAGGTGGATCCAGGAGGCTGATGCTGCGTGGGCCAGGGATCCTGAATGGCCCAGTGCTGCCCAGTCTTTGCCCTTTGCCTGCTGACTTGCCCCACCTCATCTTCCTTGCATGGCCTGATTCGCATCAGAACTGACAGGTCGGTCAGCTCTGGGAGGACAGCCCCAGCCCCAGCCCCAGCTGTGGGGCTGGCAGGCGGGACCAGGGCCAGCCGGCCCCTCCCTCTGCTCCATGGCCCAGCTTACAAGAGCCTCCGACGTTGCCTGCAAGTGCCACTCAGAACGCAAGGGCAAGTGGGGGAACTCTACACCTGATTTACCTAACGTGAGCCCTTGATATGTCTAATTTCTGGCTTACGTAGCAGTCTTTTTTTTTTTTTTTTTTTTGTCTTTCGCTCAATAACTAGAAGTTCCTTCCAGAAAAGGAAGTTTTACAGAGAAAGGGAGACAGTTCAATATAAGGATGAAGGTAAGTTACTCAAGATGAATGGGCTACCTTGTGAGGCAGTTAAGTTCCCCAGCCCTGGAGGGTATTCAAGCAAAAGCCAGACAAGCCCTTTTCAGAGATGTTTCGAAGGCGACATACACATCTGGCTACTGCATGGGCTGCTAGACAGCCCCTCACATTTCTCCCACACTAAGATTTATTAATATCCATTCTGCCATCTGTCCCCATACCCTATAAACCCCATAGCATTTAGCACCTGGTGAAACTTTGAAAATAGCAGCAGTGAGTTCATGGATGCAACAAAAATGTGAAGACCTAAAATGGGATGAAGGGTGGAAATTAAAAATTTCAGAACATGCTTCCAAAGCAAAAATCCCTAACGCAGAAATGATTTCAGCTTCTAAACTTGAATATACAGCTGAACACCAGGGAATCTTCCATTTCTGGGATGATGGAGGGGTGGATGTTCTGTTTGGAATTTTGTTACAAGCATTTGAAGACCGCTGCCATCACATAGGGTGTGGGATACCTAGTCTGGAAGGGTCCCCACACCCTGATGGGGTGCTCAGTGTCTGCTCAAGAGCATGAAGGAGTGAGGTCAGCTCTGAAGATTACTGACCTCAGCCCAATCTACGATGATGTTTAGAACCCCCAGGTCAAAATGGAGGCTCAACCTTCCTGTGGACCTGCCTTCTGGGCTGGGGAGATCTGAAAATTCCTCCAAACCCCAAGCTACTCTCCAGATCACAGACAATTACCTGATGAACTGTGGCACCTCTTTGGGGAGGGAGGGCCCAGCAGCAGAGCCCACTTGGTGCACGGAAAGCAGTGAAGGAACCTAACTCCAGGGGAGATAACTCAGCTCACACACCAAGCTATTAAAAATCTTTATTTTTCTCCAACAGATATACCTGTAGTTGAAATATGAAGCCACAGCAACACCTTCCCGTTTCTTCTTCAGGTGATGAGATGGGTCAGGGCCATTACTATTACAAGAACGAGGCCCAAGAACTTGCCAAGGACAGGCTGGGGCAGAGAACACACCCTTGGCCGGGTCACAGGCCCTGGGGGCTGCAGGTACTGAGAGGCAGCATCGGCAGCCCCACCCTGAGGCCTGGAAATGGGGTTAGTCCCTTTCTCATGGGCTTTGCTGCAGCTGCAGGCCCCTGAGCAGGGAGTGTGCGTGTGTGTTTGTGTGCACATTCACACATGCATGTGCATACACACACTGCCCCTGTTGGAGGAAGATGCTCTCGGGGCCCTGCGGGGATCCCCACAGTCCTCAATTCCTTGGGATCGGTGGTCTTTGCAGTTTAACCTAACCAGGCCAGCTAACCGGGGCCAGGGAGCCGCTGCATGGAGGAGGACACAGGTGTGTAGGCCATGACCCTTGAGTCTCCCTTCTGAGGCAAGGCTCAGACAATGCTCAGACTGCAGCATAAACTGCCAGTGACCTAGGGGCTTTCCAGGGCTTGGGCCCAGTGCATGCTGGTGTTCAGCACCTGCACTCCCTGACAGCCTTGAGCCCTGAGAAGGGGTTGATTTGGCTCTGAGAATCTTCAGGCTCTGTGTGCCCTGGGCAGTGAGTGGGCCTGAGCCCCCACTGCATCAGGTGGTGCAAAGGCCACCCTTGCCCGGAGGCCTGCATCTTTCTCCAACTCCCCACCCAGATTCCATTCCTGTGAGAGAGGCAGGAAGAATGAAGGCCACCTCCGGGGAAGAAGAGCAAGTGGGAACTTGGGGTCCTGCAACCCTTTAAGACTGCTGCTCTGTAATATGCTTCTGAGGCCAAATTTGAGAGCCTGCCTGGTGGGACTTCTCAGGGAAGGCTTAGCCAGCAGTCTCAGTTGGCACTTTGTAAATAAATAACGACGCTGTCCCTTCCAGGCTGATGTCGGGAGAGACCCTGCTGAAGGCAGTGCAGAGAGGGCGAGGGCCTCAGGTGCTAGAACTCTGAGAGCTGGCAAGTACATCCTGCTCAGGACCCTGGCTGGGGAGGACGAGGGTGGGCACTTGGATCCAAAGGCTTCCCGGGGCTAGTGAGCCAACCTGCGGCCTTTGTGTGGATTCCGGGCTCCTGGGCAGAGACCTCGGCTACACTGTGGGCCTAACAGCTGGGAGCGGTTCCTGCCTTTTACAGGAGTCCTCAGGGAGTCGGGTGGGAAGGAACAGCCGGAGGGACAGAGCAGCCCAGTGCAGTGCCCTTCTGCTCAGTGTGGGCAGGCTGGCGAGGCCTGGACGGCATTGAGCCACTCCATCCTCACCAAGGGAAGCTGGCTGGGTCAACTCATGGCAGTGATGCACATAAATCCTGGCTAACAGTCATCTCTTAATTGGGCTGCGGGTTCAGGACTATGCGAACATGCTTGGGCCTCTGTTTTCCACCTGTGGGCCCCTGCTGGTGGAGCCAGGCTGGTCATTAAAGCCAACGCACTCTCCAGGTGGACCCCAGCCTGGAGAGGGCCTGCCTGCAGCAGAGTCGGGGGAGGCCATGGCACTGGGAGTCATCAGGACCAATGGGAAACCAAGCACATATGGGAAGCCAATCAAATGGAAACAAACAAAACACGTGAAAGCATCAGCAAATTCTTTGTGTAATAAATATTGCAAAGCGCACTTGGTTTCTTTCTTTCTTTCTTTTTTTCAAGTCAAATATAACAACCAATGTCCCAAACCCTGTTTTCAGCATTCAAAAGAGAAAAGCTGTTGCTATCAGCATAACACCTCCGGCCAATCAAAGAAAAAAACCGTTTCCCACTAGCTGGCCAATCAAAATCCTTTTCCAGTTTAAGCAGCCAATCAACCTCTTCACATTCCTAAAAAGTGATCTAAATAAAGCACCAGAGCTCGGAGAGCTTCCAGGGAAGCCATATACCGAGGCGCAAATTAACAAAAAAAAAAGAAAGGGAGTCAGAAATAAAAATAAACGGTTTCAGTTGGTCAAGATCTAAAAATAAAAAGGTTTCTTTCTGTAGCCAATCGTGAGTCCATCTCTTTAGGCCAATTGTAAGTGCACCACTGGCGGCTTCCTCGATGCCAGCCCCTCTGAGTGGCCATGGGGCGGCTGGGTTTGTTTGGGATGGCGTGGAGTAGGGCAGGGGGTGAGGAAGGTGATCTGCTGCCACTCAGCTGGCCGAGGTCCACACAGATCTCTTGGCCCTTGCCAGCTTCCAGGGTGTCCCGAGTAGCTACTGCCTCCGGTCCTCTGTCTCCGACCTGGAAAATGCCATCACCACATCCTCTGCACCTGCAGAGCAGGGGAAAAACCTGCTGAGGGGCCCCTAGCATGGGGCTGCCGTCGGGGCAAGGAGCTGTGTCCCCCCACCTGCAGCACCAGTCCACGGTAGCATGGTGCTTTGTGAGTCCAAAGGGCTCCAAGGAAGCCCACCGCACCTCTGGGCCTTCCCTACAGCCCAGCCAGGGGTGTACCATCAGTCCTGCGGCGGCCTGCAGGGCTGGGGCTCAGAGGCTGGTTCAAGGCCACCTGGAGGTGAGCACAAGAACCCAGGGCTGCTGGTACTGGAGTAGGGCTCTGCTCACATCCCTTGCTCCAAAGTCGCCAAAGCCAGGGGCCCCTGGGGACTTCCCTCTTTCTTCTTAAGACTCCTCCTTTGAACCCTTTGTTGGATCTTTCTCGCTCTGATTTCTAATAGCCATTCTTCTTGGCCCGAAGCCAGCACCTATGCAAGGGAGTGCGGCCAGGTCATTTCCACCTGCACTGAGCCTGGCTCCTATGGAGACAGATAATGGTCATAATCTTTATCATGTTATTTTTTATTATGATTTGAGATTCTTCTCCAGGCCTTCATGAAATCACTTCCTTTTTGTTTTCCATAAGGCAGGCTCTGACATGCAGCCGGAAAAGGCAGGACAGAGGGCGGAAAGAGCTAGAAATACTGATGCGCTTCCATCCGCAAAGCTGCTGGGGAAGGAAGGGGCTGAGTGAGCCAGTGGGTCCTGCGGGCAGGTGAGGTGACCACGGTCCCCGCCCGCCTCCCAGGCCAGCCTGGGGCCTCCTGCATCCTGCGGCCTTCCCTCCTTTTCCTAAAGGACTGTTCCTGGTTGTGCCCCACCATGACACACTTTTCTTCTGTACTGCTGGAGACATTCCACCTGGGAGGGGACAGGAGGATCAGAACAGTAGACATTGGCATGTGACATGGTCTGGGAGAGGGCACGATTCCACCCCCGGCCATGATGCTGGCTGTCTTCATCCACAGCAGAGGAGAGACCCCTGAGTGGCAGCCTCCCGCTGACCTCCTTCCCTGCGCCCTGCCACATGGAGGAGTGGAGGTGGCACCCAGCTGCAGAGCTGCAGGAGGCACAGCCGCGAGGACGGACCTTCACGGAGATGTGCCTTCAATGTGGCACCAGAACACCAAGGAGCTGCCAAGGGAATATGCCTGCCACATGCACCCCAACCTGCCTTGGTGGGGGTCTGCTCTTACCAGCACAACCTCTATTCCTGAACAGGGGAATAAGTTCTGGAAAGAAGCTCAAATTGTCTGACTTCTTGGGATGGGGGGGTCTTTTGCTTGGAAAATCCTGCAAATCCTTCCCGTTTTCTCAGGAACATTCTGTTCTCGCCTCAGTCCTAGGACCACGAAATATCACTACAGACAGACTTTTCCTAGCAACCAGAGATCCGAGATTACATCACACCCTGCCTGGCAGCTGAGCTGGTTACCTAACAGATGCCGTCTTTTCCCGAGTGCCGCCTCCCCAACTTGCTAATCAGGAGGGGGCTGGAGGAGACCATGAAAGGAGAGTTAGCAAAAGATGCCTTGGCTACAGTGAACAGTGGCCACCCACTCGCTCCTTTCCTTGCCTGTTTTGTGGGCTTTCTCACAGGGACCTTGGGCCTCTGTGTGAGCTACAGGCACAAAAATAGCACTGGCTGCCCCAGGAGGGACTGGTGAGTCTCCAGAGGGAACAGCCATTGGCTCCTTGGGGAGCCCAGACCCAGGGGCTATGGCTCCCAACACCCAGCCTGCCTAGTGTGAGCACTTGGGCCACACTTGGGGCAGGGTGGGGTGAGGGGGAAGGAAGTGACCTCTTCAAGGTCACACAGGGATTCTCATGACTATTTAACAAGACCTCTGAAGCAGACGATCTACCAGAGTCCTATCCCTGCCCCCTGCCAGCTGGTCACTCCATTCCTGGCTGGGAATTATGGCTCCCATTTATACAGCCTCCCACTCTGCTGCTGCAGCCGGCGCAGAAAGGACCCATAGGGCTGCAATCATTCCGTGGCCGGTTCTGCCCCTAAACAACCTGTGGGTTCTTCAGACCTCACGGCAGGGATCTGATTTCCTTCAGGGCCCAAGAGGGGGCAGTCTCCTCCACAGCACCCTCTGACCCTTCCTTATCATCAGTTGGCCTGGCACTCCTCATTCAACAAGGGTCTGACTGTGAACCAGGCAGACTTCCAGGCAACCAGGCAGGACGCTGCTTTTCCTTCTCCTTTTCTCCATGAAATGTGAGCCAGTTACGTAACCAGGAGGGTAAACTGCACAGGTACTTGTCACAGGAGGGACCTCAGAGGTGGATCCCCACAGTCCCTCTTCCTTTAAAGGTCAGCATGTGGCAGCTCCCGTGGGTACTCTCACTGTTCTGGAATCACGGGGCTCAGAACAGAAAGATGCTGCAAAGAAGCCAGCAGGCCAGCTTACTGCCTCCAGGCTGTTGTCTAGGTTTCCTATCCCATTTCAGAGATGAGGCCATGTCCACCCCATTGGTGCCTCTGCTGACACAGTCTGAACTCTGGCTCAGAGCTTCTGTCTACCTTTCCAGTGAGCACAGGAGGGGAGAAGTTGCTAAGTCTCTCTGGTTCCACATTCTCTGACACATTAAAACCAGATGAAGATATCATTAGAGAACTACAGACCTGTATCTCTAATGAATATAGATATCCAAGATATCTATAATATGCATTCAACAAAATACTAGCAAACTCAATACAACATATAAAAGGGATTATGTATTCTAAGTGAGACTTATCCCAGGAATGCAAGGTTGGTTTAACATCCCAAAATCAATTAATGTATCAAAAAAACAACAAAAACCATATAATGATCTCAATAGACACAGAAAATACATCTGACAAAATTCAGCACCCCTTCATGATAAAAACACCCAATGTACCTAGGAATAGAAAGGAACTTCCTCGATCTGATTAACGGTATTTACTAAAAACCCAACTATTATCATACCTAATGGTGGAAGACGGAAAGCTCCTCCCCTTCATGATCAGGAACAAGAAAAGGATGTCCACTCTCACCATTTCTATTCAATACTGTGTTGAAGTTTCTATCCAGGGCAATTAGGCAAGAAAAAGAAGTAAAAGGCATCCAACTTGGAAAGGAATAAATAAAACTATTTTGTAGAGGGCATGTATCTTATGTATAGAAAACCCTAAAGAATCTACTAAAAAACTATTAAAGCTAATAAACAAGTTGCAGGGTACAAGTTCAATATACAGAAATCATCTGTATGTCTATGCACTAGCAATGAACACTCTGAAAATGAAATCAAGAAAACAATTTCATTTATAATAGCATCAAAAATAATAAAATACTTAGGTATAAATTTAACAAATGAAGTGCAAAATTTGTGCTCTAAAGTGTACAAAACACCATTGAACAAAATTCAACACAATCCCTATCAAAATCACAGATGCCTTTTTTGCAGAAATTGACAAGCCAGTCCTAAAATTCATAAGGAAATGCAAACCTTGAAAAAAAAACAAGGTGGACTCATACTTCTGGATTTCAAAACACATTACAAAAGCTACAGTGAACAAGACTGGGTGAGACTGCATAAGGACAGACATATACGTCGATGAATAGAATTTAAAGTTCAGAAGTAAAGTCTCCTATTTTCAGTCAATTAAGTTTTGACAACTCAGTGGGAAAGAACTGAACAAATGGTACTGAAACAACAAGATGTTTACATGTGAAGGATG